GTCTGGATCACAGTATACCTCAGCCAGGGATGATCGTTAGCAAGAGAAAAGGCCGATGATGGAAAACCGACGTTTTATCCCTCCGGCAAGAAGGAATATTGGGAAATCAGCACATCCGTCTAATTCAGCCTGTAGACGCTGTGGGAGACATCATGGGAGTGGTCCTTGTCCAAGTGTGACTGGGGCATGCTTTCGGTATGGTGAAATGGGACATCACATCAGAAATTGCCCGAATCTTCAGGTTCGACCACCCCCATCATCGCAGACACCTCGGATTGGGAATCCGACTAGTGCAGCCCCACCGGTTAATTCGAACGGGCCACCGGCACAAGGACGTGTGTATGCCCTGACGCGAAAAGGAATTGAGAATGCGCCAGGCGAAAGCACAGGTATGGTTTCCCTGTATAATTATGTGGCATATGTTTTATTGATCCGGGGGCGTTGCACTCGTTTGTGTCTGCTTGATTTGTTAAATTGGCTGGATTAAAACCGTTTTTTTAGAAGTGCAAGTGTGTGACTACTCCATTGTGGAATAAGATATGCGTGTTGTTAGGGTGCTTAGACTGTAAAATTGTGATTGGTGATGTAGGAAGCTGGATAGATTTGACCGTTTGACTATGTATGATTTTGATACGATTGTGGGCATGAATTGGTTAGTCGAACAGAATGCTGTAATGGATTGCAGCATTGGGGTGATTCAGTTTAGTCCGACTGGACACCCTAGATTTGAATTTGTAGGGAGTCGAGGAGGAACCTCGGTCCCTTAAGTTTCGTCAGTAGAAGTAACCAAATTGTTAGATGAGAGGTGTCATGGTTACTTAGCAAGTGTGGTCGATTTGACGGCAGAAGAAATACGGCTAGAGGATGGAATTCTGAAACTTCGAGGACGATTGTGCATGCCCGATGATTTGGAGCTTAAGGAGAGATTCTATCGGGAGCTCATAGGAGCAATTATAGTATTCACCGGGCAGCACGAAAATATGCCAAAAATTTCGGTAGCACTATTGGTGGGATAAAGTGGGAGAAAGGAAGAAAGAAAAGTCATCACCCCCATTTGTTGGATGGCTGAGTATAGTTGTAAATTTCGAAGACGAAATTTTATTCGGGGGGAAGAATTGTAACATTCTGAATTTTCGATCATTTTCCCGGGATTTATGAAATGAATATTTGGCCAATGCACTTATAGTAAGATCTCACCCGGAACCGCGCATTCTTGGGATGCTAACCTTAGGGGTAAGGCCATTACGGGATTGAGTTCACACGACCAAAGGACTCGACCGTGGTTCGACCTTCGACCATAAGGATTGACGAGGGAATGTTTTGGGCCAACAGAGAGCGATCTACTTGATTGATCGTGTCTGAAGGGAACTAGCGATAGACCCTCGCAATTATATGACAATCGAGGTCCCCTTGGTTCGAGCAAACTTAAACGTGATTTGACTTAGTGTCGGTCACGGGTCGAGAGCGTGTAATTCCAGTGAGCCACCTGTTAGCAAGAGATAAGCTAAAGTCGCAATTGTTCGATTCTAGTCATTTCTTGAAAATTCAGGCCCGAGAATCGAGAATTTTGAAAATGACAATTTTTAGCGGCCGATGGCGTTTTTGGTGTGGCCAACCTTGGAGTGACCCATTTCTGTAAAAAAATGGATTTCGGTCCGGGACCGGAAAAATGACCGTTTTGCCCCTGGGACCGCGAACGAATTTTGAGGACCGGATTAAGTCGGGGGACTGAGAATGACCCAGCATGGCCGAAAATGAGAAGACAAGAATGCCCCTTTCTTTCCCTGGGTAATTACTCTTTTGCCCTTTGACTTTTTGGATAAGGACAAACGTGGGCCGTCAGATTTGAATGAGATTAAATCTTGACCGTTGGATCGGAGGGGTAGATAGAGGGTATTTTGGTAATTTCCGGAGTGCAATTATTGGGGTTAGAATATAAATATCTATTTCCTCTCGCTCTCTCCTCAATAATTCTCTCCCTCTCTCTCTTTCCTCACCCCCCCACCGAACCGGCTTTCTCTCTCCCCTCTCCCTTGTGCGTGAACCACTTTAGCCGGCCACCAGTTCGCCGCCGTCTGGTCACTGCCCTCCCCCCGGTCGCCGCCCTCCTTCTCCTTTCCGGCCTAGCACCACCACTGTCCGCCTGTCTCTCTCCTCTTGTTTGCCTCCCCTGTCCTGTGCAGCCAGCACCAAGCCACCCCTAGCTGACCTCCCCTGGCCCATACGTCCCCACCGCCGCCCCTAGCCGCCCGTTCGTCGCCCGCCAACCGCCCGTCCAAGGTGGTGCAGCTGCTCGCTTGTTTGGCCGCTGCTGCCGCTGCTGCTGCTCGGCTGCTGCTTCTGATCCGGCCGTTCCAGCCACCCAATCAGCCCGTTTATCACGCCTTTCTAAGGTAAGTGACTTCCCCAAACGTTACTTAGGATCTCGGGTATTGTTAGACATGTTTAGGGCTTGGTTCGGGTAGTTTAATGGCTGTTTTGGGGCTGAGATGAGGGCTGCTTGTTGTGGACTGATTTGGTGGTTGAAAATGCTTGGTTTAGTGGACTCGGATAGGGCTGTGATGATGTGGAACGAGTAGGATTGGATCGTATGTTTGATGGGTAAGATTATGCCCTGAATAGGCTCGTATGTGTGATTGGGTAAATTGTGGTTATTGGTTGATTTGGACTGAATGTTGTGCTTAATGTGATATGGCTGTGTGCCGTGAGTGTGTGGCCGTGAGGCGTGGTGGTGCAATTGCGCATTGAGTTCGCGTGCCAAGCATGTGTGATAGGGTGGTGTGTTTGTGTGACGAGAACGTGTATTTGTGAAGTGTATATGAGATGTGAATTCGTGCGTGACCGTGTGTATATGTGGCGTGAGATTGAGTGTGGACGTGGTGTATGTGTGGTACGTGTGGAGTGTGTGGAACGAAGGTACGGGATTGTAGGATTGGTTAGAAAAGTTCCGTCCTGAGGCATGTTCGTTTACGCGGGACGATGCCGTCCCTGACGAAGTGACGATGCCTGGGTCGACGGGGTGACGATGTCTGACGAGGTCAGAAGACCGTTGGGCTGATGCGTTTTACGCGGGCGCGGTAGAGAAGGAAGTGAGAATGTAGGATCCGTCCTGAGGCGTGTTCGTTTACGCGGGACGATGCCATCCCTGACGAGGTGACGATGCCCGGCCCGACGGGGTGTCGATGCCTGAAGAGGTCAGAAGACCGTTGGCCTGATGCGTTTTACGCGGGCGCGGTAGTGGTGGAAAAGTTGGGAAGGAGTTGGACTTGGCTTGACGTGTGAGGATTGTGAAAGTTGACGCATGGTGTGAGTTAGTGTGCGAGTGTGGTTTGTATCGCGTGATGTAGTACTCGATTATGGAGTAAAAACTACTAGGCATGGTATGGGACGTGCCCAAGTAGGTTTTGCCTTATAATCGAGGCACGCGCGCGGTTGCGATGCATTACGGTAGCATGTTGGTTGTGTTATTATCTAACTTGCAGGGACATGCATGATGGACTCCAGGTAGGATCGTATGTGTTTGTTAGTATGGACGTTCGTTGTATGTTATGTGTGTTTCGTCTGACGATACGTGAGAGCCTATGTGGGGTTTGGGGTTGTGCACTTATTGAGATTCGTCTCATGGTTGTATAACCACCACTTTCAGACCCCCAGCCTTATACCCAGGAAGCCCGCCTCCCCGTTTTGCAGTATGAACAGCTGACCATAGTGCCCCAGTGGAGCTGCAGGCGATTTCCGTATCTTGGTCCAGGTGGTCTTCCGGGGGCTCGAGCCAGAGGATGCTGAGGCAGAGCGGAGGAGGGTGACCAGTAGGTTTCCCTAGGGTATTTTAGGGGTTGCGCAGAATAGGTCTGACCAGAATCCTTTTGATAGTTGGGTCGACCTATAGTGAAGTTAAGTTAACCAAGCCACCTGATCCTTGTGTTATATCGGTGGTTTCAGGTGCTCCTCTGTTAAGTTGTTTGTAATATGATGTTTGTATGCTTGGTGTAATGGCATTGTATAAAAATGATCGTTGTTGTTGATTGTCTTGGTGATCGACCCCATTGTTGTCTTTATAGTCAGAGGTTTTATATTCGCTTCCGCATGTGTTTCTGATGTTTGGGTTGGGTCGGCGATGTTCCTGGGACGTCGTACTATTCGACCGGAGGTTCGGGATGTCGCGAGCTCGATGGGGTTCGGGGCGTGACAAATATTACCCACGAGATTTAATTGGCTTCATCATTAAAAGCTCTCAAGGTGAAATTCACAAATAAGTCACCTCTCAGATACTATTCAGAATGAACATCCACTTCGTATATATAGACAAGAATTAGATCCAAAATAGGAAACATTCTCTAATTACGAAAACCATTCAATTAGGAAACCTATTTAAAATAGAAAACCTACTTGAAATAGTAAAGTTTTTCCTTCATGTTCAAACTTGAGACATATTTTCAATAATTTACTCCGATCAAAGCATATAGGAAAAGCAAAGTATTCAACTTTTGACTAGAATACAATGTGGGCACTTGGTACATGGAAGCTGAATTTGTAATAGGCACAACACGTCTTATAGGACTCTTTGTTTGAACTTAAATATTTCATAAACTAAATTGTTTGTTTCATCTTCAAAATTTGAAAATTTTATATAAAATATATGTGAATTTACGTGTCCAAATTTTGAGGTTGTGAAAATTTCAAGAATGTCGAATTTAAGAAAAAGTCAAAATACATGAACTGCGAAATTTAGAAGCTAAACATTTAAGTAAAATTAATCTAGACAGACCCAAAATCAAATAATGCTTCCGAAATAAATTGCATAGGGGAGATGAACTAGGACGACACATGATTCCATATATTGTAGATAGTACATTTCGACCTTGTATTAATGTTAGATTTTGGCCGTTGACTTTTTGACGTGAGCAGAAATTCAAGAAAGGAAATAGGGATTAATGATTGCAAGACACGCCTTTTCATGATAATAACCCACAAGGATTTAAACCTTGTGTTTCTTGAGGAAATAAAGAAATGATCTGGATTACCTGCAAGCTAAAACAGCACAACTGCTCTCCAACGGCGTTCTCGCTACATAGCAGATGCTCTAATCGACCCAACAACCGAAAATGAAACACAGACCAAACACAAGAATCCGAAGAAAACCGAACCACAAACGATCGGAACAGAGCCGAAGCCCCTCCTACGCCGTAGCAAACGTTAGGCACCTACGTATTTGGCCCCAATCTCCAGCAGACAATCACAAAGCTCCTGTGGCTTCGAAAGCATGGCCATGTGATCTGCACCGTCCACCTCCAGGACGTGGTGGGCCCCGCCGTTCGCGATCATCCACCGTTGGAACCCCAGGGGTATCCCCACATCTTGCCTGCACACGACGTAGACCCGTGTCGTCGACCCGTACCCTTTGCAGGTGAAGTTGCTCGACGTGCTCAGGTCTTCCAGGAACAACGACCCTGGCCTCGTCAAGATCTTACCGAGTTCCAGATCCTTCAATGGTTAACATATCCATGTAACATGGGTTAATGGACTTTTGAACCTGACATGATGTCGCTTTGGAATTCACAAGTGCTAAACATGTGCTAGACTTGATCATAGGCCTGATGGCCATTACGCTAATCAAGGCTTGGTCAAGCTAACAAGGTCCGAATCACTAACTAAATCTGCCTGATCAAGCAATTTCCCTTTCTATGCTCGGGCCTACCCACATAGGCCTAATTGAGCTGCCCATATCTTAATGTTATATTTGTAAGTTATGTTTCTAGTAGAGATGGAAGCGGAACGGATTTGGGATGATTAATGTCGTTCCAAACCCATCCCATTAACTTTAAATCATTTCCCAAACCTACCTCACTAAAGTAGTCATGTTCCCGTAAGGTACCGGCAATCCACCACAACATTTTGTATTAAACAATAGCCTTATGTTAAATGTACAATAAACAGCTTTTTATTTGCAAATGCAACTATATATTCAAAACTTATGCTTTGCAAATCTCCAATTCGAATTCTAAGGAGTGCAAATATAAGATTGAAAGGATGTAAAATTTACAATCTGAAAAATCTAATGTCTAACAATAATTAGAAGTTAAATGGGAAATGGTGGCCATCGTTGAAAATCTTATATCATATATGCTCCCTTTTAATCTTAGCATTCACAAATTTGTATATTAAGTACCATTGAGAATTTTAACAGAGCAAGAGCAATTTTAAAATCCAAAAAAACAGTTACATTTCTTATAGAGTTAGTGATTATGTATTGTTACTTAGGGTACGCTTATTTCATAGAAAATGAATGATTTGAAACACATTTTTCTAAAAATGATCACTTGAAATAATTAGTTAATGAATTTTTTTTCACTTACGACAAAAATTTGTCTAAACATTTTCGTTATAATGCAAATAATATAATTTCATTTATTTTTGTAAGTGATACAAGCATTCATTTTTAGAAAAATATTTTTCAAATCATTCATTTTTTGCGAAACAAACGCTCCCTAAGTAACAATACATATTGAGTTCAGGTTTGTATTTCCCAATTATAAAATGCCAAACCCATCGCAAGCCTATGGGGACTTTTAGCAATCGATTTATAATTCGTCAAGCTTCGCCAAATCCGCCACTCTCCTACTTCTCATTAGGGTTTTTCGTGGGAGGGGGTGAGTACCTATATAACGATTTAGTTTTATCCTTAGCTTGTAATCTCAATTAGATAAACTCACAAAATAACGAGATCAAACCCAAATAATTCTAAACTGCAATGACATAAGATATCCAGGCTAATGTATTGCTAGGTCATCGATCGAAAAGGCAGACTTTACAGTAGAATCATATGCTTTTCAAGTAATGCTACAACGTGCTTTCGGTGTAGATTGAGTTGAGTCATACCATGTACAGTCAGATGTGATATGTTTCGTCGTTATGTCAATGGACAGAAGTGAATACGTACCTCGAGAGGAGACAATTGATAGAGCTTGGATGACAAGAAGTCAGGGCCGAAGAACATGGATGTTAAGGGTTTGTCGGGCTGTCCTATGGGCTCGAACTGGGTATCTAGCCATGCTCCCTCCGGTGCCCTTGCACAGTACTTGCATTACAAAGGACAAAGGCATTAAAAATGAGCTCATGCATGTAGGGTTTGGTACTACCAAACGTACAATGTTCTATTTTACTTAAGGCTAGTTGTCATATGTCTTTCTTAATATTACTAAGACCTTTTACCAAACTCTTTTGACATGTAAAAGTACTTCAGACCAAAATAACGATACATTAATATTTAATAATAGATGGCATCTCACCAAAATGAATAACATTCTGTCGTACTTGAGGCCAATCATCGTATTGCCCTTTTTTGCAATTATACAATATTTTACCAAGGCATACACATTCAAAAGTGTAAGTTTTGCTACCATACGACGATATGACACTTGGTTGTACAATAGGCCAAATATGTCACACAAACTAATTTAGTTATTTAAACTATAAGAAGAATGCGGGACAACTGGCTATTAACAGTAGCACTTTTGGTTGTATGGTATAATAATATACAATAGACGCTATGCATGCAAGTATCCAAATCTAGGAAAAAAGCAAGGTTGAAGTCCTAAATTTTTTATCACAATTATATAAAGTCCTAAACTTTCTATATACCCCTAAAAGATTTCCTCCACCGGCCCTCGGTGAGGGCCCCTCACCTTTTCCTCTCCCTTTACCTCCCAAACGAAGTACGGAAGACAAATGGTGCAAGCCAATCATATGCAGGGATTAAAGGGAGGCCAAAGGCGCCTGGGGTCGCCCAAGATCCAAAAGAATATCTTCAAATATGGCTCAGTCAAATAAATTGACAGATTTAATGACATATATGAGTAAATTACTTATTTGGTTCCCCACTTTAACAATATAGATTCTCCAAAATGGAAAAAGAAAGGTCCACTTCAACCAAAAGCAAGAAAGAAGACTTCGTTTTGAGAATCTAGCACGTGTTCAACAGAGATTACCTCTTCCAACACATACGACGGCCGATGTGCGGTGTCCGGCATGAAAGCCGCCAAGAATACAGCGACGGATATCTTCTCCGGGAACCTGTCGGCAGCGAGAGCCAAGTTCAAGCCGCCCAAGCTGAGGCCAACGAGGATCACCCTCTCGTGCGCGCCAAGCGAAGCCATGAGCTCCAGCAGCGGCTCGGTGTACTCGCGGAACGTGCGGATGTCGTGTATGGACTTGGTGTCGGTGCCAGAGGCGGCCAGGTCGAGCACCGTGACGCAGTGGCCGGCCAACTCGAGCCGATGCTTGAGCTTGTACCAGCTCCATGCGCCGTGGCAGGCGCCGTGCAAGAGTACGAAATGGTGGTGTTTCATGCTTTTGGCTCCCCACAGCAATTTTCTCAGCCGTCGCTTTGTTACTAGCTCATGTATCTTTTATGAGATTATACTTAAATCACGACTGGTTTGGTGATCATGCTTAGGAGAAGGAGGAGGAATTGACATATGTGCCCCCATAATGAATTTGATGAAAATTAAAGTAAACGCAGAAACTTCCTGAATGGATCTTACTGTGGAAGATTTTCCTACCAGCTTTTTTTGTCGCTCTTGAAAGTATCTTGCTAGGCCCCGATTGCAATTGAAACACGTTTACTATTCTAAGAAATTTTTATATATGTTGTGAAAGTTTACAAAGGTATCACCAAAAAAAAAAGAAAAAAAATCACAGCAATTTGGAAGTTAACATGTCAACTTGAAAGTCAACTAGGTCGAAAGATTTGAATATTAATATTGAGGTTATCTCATATTGATTTTGAAAGAGGCTGTTAATCAGTTTATAAATGTGCGTAAAAGTCTCGTTCATTGAATTAGTTTTTGAAGTGAAAGAAAGGCAAGTCCACTCAACAGTCGTGTTCATTTTTGATAAGATGTCTCCTTCGGAACATGAAAGACGTGGTTTCATGTCAAAGGTCAGATCACTGCGGCTTCAAGGAGCCATGGGACGATTCATTGTTGCTGTCATGGCATCCCTGTATGAGTTCAGCCACGACCAAGGCACGCGCGGAAGTGGGTTATCCACATCGCTCTACGAGTTGACTAATGAATATTCTATCTAGTTTAGCCAGCTCATCAGCACCCTTACGCCGAGCTTGCCTTTGGGACCTCAGATCTTATCTTGTGCTGGATCGACACCATTTGGCAATTGGAATAGAAAGCTTCCAAAATGAATTGCCGAAAATGGCCCTAACCACGTAAGCTAAGCCCGCTTAAAAGGTAGAGAAAAAGCTAACAAAAACCTCAAATTATGATCATTGTAATACTAAACATTTTTTGTTTTGTAATACCAAAATTTCCAAACCTATACTAATGTGACATATTTATCCTTCGTCGAGATTCCGTTAATATGAATCATTAAAAAAGCTGCTCACATGTATGACGGAAAGTAAATGATGTTGTTGGCGCCCACATAATTTAAGTGAAATAAAAACGACATTATTTTGACTAAAAAATCATATAATGAAATATTAATTGGAGGGTAAATGTGTCACATCAGTATAAGTTTGGGGTTTTTGATGTTAAAAGAAAAAGTTATGATATATGTATCATAATGGGCATAGTTGAAGTTTTTTATGTTACCTGAAAAGTTCAGGGTAAATTCACAGTGGACATAGTTTGAAGATTCTTTTTTCCCAAAAGAAATAAAAAAAAACCTTATTTATTGTCCATCTAGAGGGAACGAGAGTAAACAAAATTCCTAGCTAGGTTCCTTTTCCTGTGCTTCATATAAAATAATCCTCGGAATCTATATTTTGCATGAAAAACGATAAAACTAAGCAAATCTTTTTGATTTTCCATCTTTTTTTTTCTTTTTCTTTTGTTTAGGTCTTACATAATTGGCCCAAATTGGAATAGAATCTTATATTAATTGAAACCGATAAGATGTGCTTACTAGATCAGCAAAATAACACGTTTCTCGTAAAAGGTATTTATTGGATTTCTTTTGTATGGATAAAAGGATGGGCACGGGGACTGACAGGCACCCTATATGGTGATAACCATAAGTCTCTCGTATTTTTAATAATTCATTTGAGTCATAAATATCATTCATTGTCGGAGAAGGAAAATTGTCAAAAAAGTCTTAAATTGCACTTTTACCATTTCAGTCCTAAATTTTTTAATTTTTTCAATTCAATCCTAAACCTTTTCACTTCTTGCTAATTTAGTCCATCCGGATAACGCTGACGTGGCAATTTTAATTTTCTTTTCTAATTTTTTAATATATTTTTCTTTCTTTTCTTTTTTTTTTTTGCACTTCTTCCCTCTTTTCAGTCCGGCGACCGGCGATCGGCCAAAGGCGCGGGCTAGCGAGGTTGACCTCGTCGGCCTTTGGCAAATCTCACCCCCGCCGGCCACTGGCGAGGGCAAGCCTTGCCTAACGCTGCCTAGGCAAGATCAAGGTCGACCTCGCCAGCCAAGGTGAGGCCAACCTTGCTGTTGCCGGGCGAGGTGGAACCCAACGCTGTAGGAGGTTGGCCTCGCCCAGCCCTGGCGAGGCTGACTTGCCGTCACTAGGTGAGGTGAAACCCAGAAACGGCGAGGTCGGCCTCAACCTTGCCCAGGTAGCGGCGAGCAAGGCTCACCTTCGCCAGTGGCCAACGGGGGCAAGCTTCGCCAAAGGCCGGCGAGGTCAACCTCGCCGGCCCATGCCTCTGGCCGGTTGGAGGGAAGAAGCACAGAAAGAAAAAGAAAGAAAAGAAAAAAAAAGAAAAAAAGTTTAAAAAGTTCAAAAAAAAATATTTAAAAATTGTCACGTCAGCGTCGGTCGGCCAAATTTGGCTAGATGAACTGAATTGGCAAGAAGTGAAAAGATTTAGGATTGAATTGGCAAAATTAAAATGTTTATAACTGAATTGGCAAAAGTGCAATAAGTTTAGGACTTTTTTGACAATTTTTCCTTGTTGGAGAACATTCCTATGGAATTTTAATGATTCTATAACTATCATTGGTATAATATCTAATATGATAAGTGCAAATATTCGTGGTAAAATAATGTAGAACAGTTAGCCTGTGATTATCTTGAAGAATGTGATCGCCGTAATCGCCGAAAATCTTGGCAGTTTTTCTGATTAGGCAGTTTTTTTTTACTTTAGGCAATTTCGAATTATCAATATTTCGTTTGATTTTATTAGATAAGATTAGATTTGATTTTATTAGATAAGATTAGATTTGATTAGATTTGATTTGCTTTGATGTTATCTTCATTAATTCGGATATCTTTAGGAGTCCTATCATTATAAAAGGACGTCCAGCTTTGTATTCAGATATTATGAAATTGAATTGAATTCCAGTCGAATCGTGGAAGAGTTTTCCAAGTTATCGCTTCTATCTGCGTCATTTGGTATCAGAGCAGGTTTCTCCCGTGACGATGGTGAATAACGTGAATGTTAATCTCCCCGCTACTGAGGGTCGTGAGAACGAACCTATTACGCTGGCTGAGTTCAATCAGTTCGTGGATCAAACCGATCGGAGGTTTCAAGAGATCCTTGATGCCATCCAGCGTTTGTCCACAAACCATACGCCTGGCAATTTTCTAGCCGAGCGAATTCCTGTCATTCGTGATCCCGAAGATGCTATGGGGCGTGGAGGAATTCCCTAACAAAGGCGTCAAGACTATGTTGAGGATACGGAAGACGAAGACGATGATTTCCAGGAGATGCAGATTCGTGGTGGTCACCGATACAGGGGATTCCAGGAGGAGCATGTTCGTGGGAATCGACGTCAGGGAGGATATCGACGAGATCCTGAGCAGTATCAACTAAAGGTAGATCTCCCCACTTTCAATGGGAATTTGGATATTGAAGATTTCCTTGACTGGCTTTGGGAGGTCGAAAAATTCTTCGACGCTATGGATATTGATGAGGATCACCAAGTGAAACTTGTGGCGTACAAGTTGAAGGGTGGCGCTTCAGCTTGGTGCGAACAGACTCAATTGATGCGACGTCGACAAGGCAAGGCTCCTATTCGATCATGGGGTCAGATGAAACAGAAGTTGAAGAAGAGGTTCCTCCCAACGGACTATGAGCAATTGTTATTTCAGCAATTCCAGAATTGCCGACAATCGAATAGATCGGTCCAAGCTTATACGGAAGAGTTCCTTCGACTCTCTGCTCGCAATAACCTGGATGAGTCCGAGGCACAATAAACTGCTAGGTACATTAATGGTTTGCGACTTAATATCTAGGATCGGGTTTCTTTGCATCGACTATTCTCTGTCGAAGACGCCCAGGATATGGCGCGAAAAATTGAGGTGCAATTGGAGAGGACTAGCCCTAGTACTCGTGGTAGCAATTATTCGGATCGTGGGTCATTCGGGAAAGGAAGACAGCCTGATGTTGCAAGTTCTTCTAGTCAACAAACACCTGATTCGAGCCGAGTTCCAGGGGGTACTACTGGGACGCCTAAGGAAGCAGTCGCAACAAACAATCGCACTCCCAATCAGAATACCCAAAATCCATATGCCAAGCCCCAACCGATCAGGTGCTACAAGTGTAACGAGTTGGGCCATCGTTCCAGCGATTGTCCTCGTCGTAGAATGGCCAATATCGTTGAACATGACGAAGTTGTGTATGAGGAAGATTGGGAAAATGAAGAAGAAGTGGGAGTGGAAGATGAAGTGGGCGAGCAAGTTAATTGTGTTGTGCGTCGTCTATTGCTTGCTCCGCGAACAGAAGATACCCAGCGGAATCAACTTTTCCGCGCTCGCTGTACTGTCAACGGCAAAGTATGCGATATCATTATTGACAGCGGAAGTTGCGAGAACATAATGTCAAAGGCCTTGGTGGATCACTTGCAACTAAAGACGGAGCCGCATCCCGCGCCCTACAATATCGGGTGGATACGCAAGGGAGCAGAACTTAAGGTAAACCAATAATGCCGTTTACCTATTTCGATCGGGAAATCATATCAAGATACTATTGTCTGTGATGTTGTGGAGATGGATGCATGTCATATTTTACTGGGTCGGCCATGGCAATATGATGTTGATGCTACACACCGAGCTAGGGAGAATACGTATTCTTTTGTGTGGAAAAGGACTAAAATTACTTTGAGACCAAAGAGTAATTCCCCTCAGATTGTGAAGAAGCAGAATGCAGGGGTTATGATGAACATCCGAAAGCGTGAAGGGATGTATATGATTGTGGACAAGGGCGACCAGCAAGTTATGGTTCGTGTTCCCGACATTCTTAAGCCCTTATTAAAGGTATTTAGTGATGTTGTGCCTGAGGATTTACCTAACGGATTACCTCCTTTGAGGGATATCCAGCATGAGATTGATTTTCTTCCAGGTGCTAGTCTTCCTAATTTGTCGCATTATCGGATGAATCCGAAGG